AGTGTTCAGCTGCTTACTCAGTTCTGGGAAATGTACAAGACATTTTCTTTTCTTTTTAACGGTTAATAGAATATTGTGCAAAGCTTAACTTTTGAAGAAGTGAGGATTTAGGTTCCAGAGACAGCAAGCAGGGCAGCAGCTGTACAACCGGATGCAACAAAGGTGCACCTGTTGTCACACACCCACACAGAGGGAGATCATCACAAACACACACACACACACACACACACTGCTGTCTGTCTGCACCTGCATGTTGTCGGGTCTCACCACAGTTTGGAGTACAAACAGGTCGCGTCGAAACGTAGCGAGCATCCAAAACGCCAGGTCAGGAGTGTTTGATGTGACCACGGTGGGAAACGGGGAGAAGTGAAAGCAGCAGCTGGGAGAGTTCTGAAAAACTCCCAGAGGTCGGTGACGAGAAAGGCAGTGAATAATGCGTTTAGACCTGACTGAACTGCTTCTGACCTAAATGAGTGTGGCCCAGAACACAGCTCCCCCTTTTAGCAGTTAATATGAGAATAGATCATGGCTGCTAAACACAAACCCCACAGGTGGACTGGCACGTGGTCCGCGTGTCTGCGGAGAGAATTACCAAAGTGGAGTTTCTTTACTCCAAAGCACATTTTCCATCCTATTGGGTTTTTTCACAGCAAAAAAAGCCAAAAGAAGTCAATTTAGCTGCAGCAGTCAATCCCTCTTTTGTTTTATGTTTAATGTGCCGTCTCAGGTTTCTCTCATGATGCTGAAGTAGGTGTGTGTGTGTGTGTGTGTGTGTGTGTGTGTGTGTGTGTGTGTGTGTATGTGTGTGTGGATGGTTACTCAGGTTGCACAGAGTAAACAGTGAATGCACCTGTGTAAATGACACAGAGAGAGCTGTTGTGTTTGGGAGGCCATCAGGGAATAAGGCATGTTGTGCAAACTGTGTCACCTGGAGAGCAAGAAAAAAAAAAGAAAGAAAATAAAGTGCGGCACCACCCGTCACAACCGCAGCCGAGCCGGCCGACGCAGACAGATATGGGTTCAGGAGATACAAGCAGCTTCCCTACGCCTGATGAATAGTAAAAATAGTGCATGCAAATGTTCGACGTACTTTGAAGGATTAGGGACTGTTGTGCAAGGTGTGCCACTTGCAGACGCAGAGACCGTCACCGCCCAGCTCAACCAGACAGACCCAATAAAATATATTTACCAGCTATGGTCTGTTCTACTCTGACAGGTGTCGGGCAGAGAAACAGAGAGACTGTACTGTCATCCATCAAAACCACAAACCAACCTGCACAGCTGGAGCTCAGTTCAGCAGTCCCGGCGAAAGTTTCTGAGAGTGTGAGCTGTTTGGTGGAGAGTTTCAGAGGAAGCCGCGATGGCAGTTGTAAAAGTAAAACTTGGTTTGGATAATTGTAGAAGTGGAAGGGTCTGTATCATAAACTAGTAATATCCTTTCAGTCACAGGAAGAGCTAGAGGGGGCAGAGCCACAAAGAGCCACAAAACTGCCCCAAAAAGACACAAAACAACTCCAAACAAACATTAAAACTACCACAAAGAGACAGAAAACAACCGTTTTTTAATCTTAACACATTCATATTTATTTCCCAAAAATGTCCCCCTTCTTTGAATCAGGCCTCCTCACAAAGCCCCAAAAAATCCCTTCTGATCCAGAATTTCTAAAAGAAAAAGGTGCTATGAGGTGGTTGCCTTCATAAAATGCTCAATAAAGTCAGATAATCTGCTGTTTTAATGCCATGGGGTGAATACGAGGTTTTGGGCTGCCTGTGTCACCACATAATGTGTGTGTGTGTGTGTGTGTGTGTGTGTGTGTGTGTCACCACCCATCGCAACTTCGCCCACATCCTATAGGAAAAACCTCTTGCACAGATGCGGCTGTCGTGCAACTTCCACTTTGTGCATGGTTGCCGCACCATCGGCCCACCATGAAACATTTCAAACACTACCAATGTGAGACTCTCTCCAGCCACAGCGACCGGACTGCACACGGGAGGCCGAGTCCGACTGGTTTGAGTCAGCGGCCTGATCCCTGTCCCTGCATGCTGTGTAGCCACAACAAACAGAGAGCTCTCCCCAGTCTTATCTAGTAACGAGTCTCTAGTTACCTGGCTCCGGTCCCCAGTCAGCGCCGCTATAAACCTTTAGGGAAGTAGAGCCAGAAGGGCCACAATTAGGGAAGTACATGCAAAGGAAGCACGAGAAAGCAAACACACACGCACACACACAAAAGATAATGCACACTCATGTTTCCCTCTTTTGTTCCCACCAACTTTGAATTATTGCTCGTGTTAAACTTGAGGTCAATCCATGTGTCATTGACTGGGTGCAGGGCTGACGACGGACAATAATAGAATTATAACAAGGTTGCCGAGCACAAAGAGTCAAAGTGCACCTTGTTTACATTCCTGCTAACACACACAACCACACACACACACAGGACACACCGAACTCTGTGCTTTTAACAAGGTTATTCTAATCAACCACGAATACTTGAACCAAAGAGGAGAGAGAGGTTACATCAAGGCCCGGTCACACTGATTCATCTCTGCTTCCTCGTGAAATAGGCTGCTCATCCAGTTAAGAGTTAGGGAGACAAAGGCTCTTCAGGCCAGCTAACTCGGCTTAAAGGGACAGTGTGTAACATTTAGGGGGTTTATTGGCAGATATTGAATATAATACTCATGACTATGTTATAATCAGTGTATAATCACCCGAAATTAAGAATTAATTAGAATTATTTTTTCCATTGTTTAGAAAAAGCCATTTATATCTGCGTAGGGAGCGGGTCGTCTTCCACGGAGTCCGCCATCTTGCACTGCCATGTTTCTACAGCAGCCCAGAATGGACACTAGCTCCAGCGAGAGCCATTTGCATTTTACGTTGTCTGAAGGTAGGGATGCGTTCAGAAACCTGGTTTAAACGTGACACATTGAAACGTGATTCATTTTGCTCCAATTCTTCTGGAGCGGAAACTTGTGAGTGATGTTTGAGTCACCTGCTTTATGTGCGTCACGATGAGTTCACTTAGTCAGTGTACATTGCACTTTTTACTTTTAAAATTTGGATGAAAACAGGAGGATGGAAAAGCACTTTGTGGCACTTCAATGTCTCGTTTTAGTTGTATACTGCTTTTACATGTCCCAAAAAAAACACGTGTGCATTTATGGAATCGGAAAAAACAAATTCTTGGCAGCAACTTATTTCGACCCATTAGCCTTCAGCGACGGATCCAAAAGCTTGAAAATCAGACTCTTGTGTGGAATCTCCAACTCTCTGTTTCGTTTTGGACGTAAATGGTCAAATCATAAGCATCTGTGAGTCATCGATGAAGCTCAATAGGACAGCGTTTTCCCACCTCATCTCATCTGCTTGTCATGGGCGACAGTCCACGCACCAGCGGGAAAGGCTACCATCAACCACTTATACCACTGACCCCTTTGAGGTTGTCCCTGAACCAAACATTGTTGCAAGACATTACTGAGCAGAGCAGTCACTTCCCATGGCAACAGAAAAAAACAGAGCGAAAGAGAGGGACGGAGAGAGAAGGGGAAAATACCCATTTAAAGCCATTTAAGCCTCTCAATATTCATGACGGAAGAGACTGTGGTGGTTCCCATAAAGTTTTGGGACATTAAACCTCCAAAGGCACTGAGGTGGGTGTCATCCCCGCTAGAGTCGGACCTCAGGGGCCCCTGTGAATCCTGCGTGGAAAAAAACACTCAGGATTGATGCTGAACTGATGATAGAGTGTAGCTTCCGTGTTGTCTTGGCAACATGCCTGACAAGAAAGAAAAAAGGGAAGAAAGAAAGAAAAGAGAGCAGAGGAGAGGAGAGGAGCCATGTGTGTGAATGGAGGAGCTCTCCATGTGTGGCGCCAGGCCGTCTGCCCGGCGGGGCGACTCGATGGGCGGCGGGGAGGGAAAGGAGCGGAGCGGCGACGCGTCTGGGAGAGGTGGAGGAATGTAGGAGGCACACAATAACACACACAGCTGGAAGGAGCGGCGAGGAGGCGCCACCGCCGCCAAATTGGCCCGTCCCGGCTCCCTTAGAGCTGCGATCCGCGCTGTGAGAACGAAATGTTTTGTTATATGCAGTCATAACGACAGTTTATTCAATCCGAGATGATGGTGGGCTGGAATGATATGTCCTCGCGAACCCATTTTCTCTCATGAAGCCCTGGTAATAAATCGGATCTGCTCCCTATTGGTTGTAGCAGGCAAACATGAGATAATACCCCATTAACCCCGCCGATAATTACGCATCTATCCTGTATGTCCTCAAAATAATTTGAAATAATATTACCTACTTTTGTGAGTTTTTATGCATTTATTGAGGAGTATGACTAGTTTGGAGTTAAACTAGTGTCCTTTTGATGTCTGAAGGTAAAGCGGGTTTAAACAGGTGGGTTTTTGCTCAGGATCATCTGTCACGGGGTAGTGATCGATACATACGAGGCCGTGCGTAATTACGCATCAACGACTGCGGCGCTAAAGATGCAAACACAACGCTAATCAGCCTCTCGTGTTGTTGAAATATATATATATATATATATATATCGCCTAAATCTCCAAGAGAGGCCTCCTGCACGGACTGGACGTAAAAGACACTCGATACTTTTTCCTTCTTTGTGCAGCGGTGGTAATGCGGAATTGACTGTTTTAAATTGCCTCTCTCTCTCTCTCTCTCTCTCTCTCTCTCTCTCTCTCTCT